AGAAGGTAGGAAATAAATTCATCTAGTGAACGTAAGGGTTTGAAAGGTAACTAACGCACATGTGTAGAGAAAATGGTGCATCGGCCAGTCTGGCCGGCATTTCGCACTTATAGTGCAAGTAGGGCCAAGGAGAACGGAAACGCTCATTTCTCAAAAAGTAGAGGGAATCTAGCGGTCTCAATCGATAAAAATGTGGGAAATATATAAATCTAGTGAGCTAATAAGGTTCGGAAGGAATCTAATGCATATGTTTATGGAAAGTGGTGCATTGGCCAGGTCGGTCAGTATGGGAACTTAGAGTGCAAATGCCTGGGAGAACGGAACCACTCAGATCTCGCATAATACACGGAATCTAGTGGTCTCACTCAAATATAAGGTAGCAAATATATTCATCTAGTGAACGTAAGGGTTTGAAAGGTAACTAACGCACATGTGTAGAGAAAATGGTGCATCAGCCAGTCTGGCCGGCATTTCGCACTCATAGTGCAGGTGGGGCCAGGGAGAACAGAAACGCTCGTCTCTCAAAAAGTAGAGGGAATCTAACGGTCTCACTCAATCAGAAGGTGGGAAATATATAAATCTAGTCAGCTAAAAAGGTTTGAAATATATTCACAGCACATGTATAGAGAAAATGGTGCATTGGCCAGGTCGGTCAGTATCGGAACTTAAAATGCAAATGCCATGGAGAACGGAAGCGCTCAGATCTCGCATAGTACACGGAATCAAGTGGTCTCACTCAAATAGAAAGTAGGAAATATATTCATCTAGTGAACGTTAGGGTTTGAAAGGTAACTAACGCACATGTGTAGAGAAAATTGTGCATCGGCCAGTCTGGCCTGCATTTCGCACTTATAGTGCAAGTAGGGCCAAGGACGGAAACGCTCATTTCTCAAAAAGTAAAGGGAATCTAGCGGTCTCACTCAATCAGAAGGTGGGAAATATATAAATCTAGTGAGCTAATAAGGTTTGAAAGGAATCTAATGCATATGTATATGGAAAATGGTGCATTGGCCAGGTCGGTCAGTATGGGAACTTAGAGTGCAAATGCCTGGGAGAACGGAAGCGCTCAGATCTCGCATAGTACACGGAATCTAGTGGTCTCACTCAAATAGAAGGTAGAAAATAAATTCATCTAGTGAACGTAAGGGTTTGAAAGGTAACTAACGCACATGTGTAGAGAAAATGGTGCATCGGCCAGTCTGGCCGGCATTTCGCACTTATAGTGCAAGTAGGGCCAAGGAGAACGGAAACACTCATTTCTCAAAAAGTAGAGGGAATCTAGCGGTCTCACTCGATCAGAAGGTGGGAAATATATAAATCTAGTGAGCTAATAAGGTTCAAAAGGAATCTAATGCATATGTATATGGAAAATGGTGCATTGGCCAGGTCGGTCAGTATGGGAACTTAGAGTGCAAATGCCTGGGAGAACGGAAGCGCTCAGATCTCGCATAGTACACGGAATCTAGTGGTCTCACTCAAATAGAAGGTAGAAAATAAATTCATCTAGTGAACGTAAGGGTTTGAAAGGTAACTAACGCACATGTGTAGAGAAAATGGTGCATCGGCCAGTCTGGCCGGCATTTCGCACTTATAGTGCAAGTAGGGCCAAGGAGAACGGAAACGCTCATTTCTCAAAAAGTAGAGGGAATCTAGCGGTCTCACTCGATCAGAAGGTGGGAAATATATAAATCTAGTGAGCTAATAAGGTTCGAAAGGAATCTAATGCATATGTATATGGAAAATGGTGCATTGGCCAGGTCAGTCAGTATGGGAACTTAGAGTGCAAATGCCAGGGAGAACGGAAGCGCTCAGATCTCGCATAGTACACGGAATCTAGTGGTCTCACTCAAATAGAAGGTAGGAAATAAATTCATCTAGTGAACGTAAGGGCTTGAAAGGTAACTAACGCACATGTGTAGAGAAAATGGTGCATCGGCCAGTCTGGCCGGCATTTCGCACTTATAGTGCAAGTAGGGCCAAGGAGAACGGAAACGCTTATTTCTCAAAAAGTAAAGGGAATCTAGCGGTCTCACTCGATCAGAAGGTGGGAAATCTATAAATCTAGTGAGCTAATAAGGTTTGAAAGGAATCTAATGCATATGTATATGGAAAATGGTGCATTGGCCAGGTCGGTCAGTATGGGAACTTAGAGTACAAATGCCAGGGAGTACGGAAACGCTCAGATCTCGCATAGTACACGGAATCTAGTGGTCTCACTCAAATAGAAGGTAGGAAATAAATTCATCTAGTGAACGTAAGGGTTTGAAAGGTAACTAACGTACATGTGTAGAGAAAATGGTGCATCGGCCAGTCTGGCTGGCATTTCGCACTTATAGTGCAAGTAGGGCCAAGGAGAACGGAAACGCTCATTTCTCAGAAAGTAAAGGGAATCTAGCGGTCTCACTCGATCAGAAGGTGGGAAATATATAAATCTAGTGAGCTAATTGTCAGATTATTATAGCTGATGCATGTTTGTAGGCTATAGTGGGGTAGCACATATGGGGTACAGTTTGCTAGGGTTGTATTTGTACCCAACTCTGACTTAGTCAATTCATTCCTGTTCATTCCTTTCACATGGTATAGAGCGGGTTCCCTGTGGGAACTTCGCCTAGGGCCCACCGAAGCGCGCCCCGAGGCGCGCGATCCTTTTTTTTTAGCGACCCCCCCGAGTCGCCCTTCCCCTGCGGCCCCGCCGCCCTTCGTTCGCGGCCCCGCCGTCCAGTCGTGGCCCCGCCCTTACGTCGCGGCCCCGCCCTTACGTCGCGGCCCCGCCACTAAGTCGCGGCCCCGCCACTAAGACGCGGCCCCGCCACCCAGTCGCGGCCCCGCCGCCTACTCGGACGCGGCCCCGCCGCCTGCTAAGACGCGGCCCCGCCGCCTGCTAAGACGCGGCCCCGCCGCCTGCTAAGACGCGGCCCCGCCGCCTGCTCAGCCGCGGCCCCGCCGCCCTCTACGACGCGGCCTCCGCCGCCTGCAGACGCCGCGGCCTCCGCCGCCTGCTCAGCCGCGACCCCGCCGCCCGCTACGACGCGGCCTCCGCCGCCTGCTCAGCCGCGGCCCCGCCGCCCTCTACGACGCGGCCTCTGCCGCCTGCTCAGCCGCGGCCCTGCCGCCTCCTACGACGCGGCCCCGCAGCCTGCTCAGCCGCGGGTGCTTCCAGCGGCCCTCCGCTGCATCCTGACGGCCCGCCGCTGCACCCTGCGGCCCCGCCACTGCGCCTGTCCCGGCTCCGCCACTGCACCCTGACGGCCCCGCCGTCCCCTGTCTCGGCCCCACCGCTGCACCCTGACGGCCCCGCCGTCCCTTGTCCCGGCCCCGCCACTACACTGCAGCCGAGCCGCCCAGCAGCAGCCGAGCCGCCCAACAGCAGCCGAGCCGCCCAGCAGCAGCCGAGCCGCCCAGCAGCAGCCGAGCCGCCCAGCAGCAGCCGAACCGCCCAGCAGCAGCCGAGCCGCCCGGTACCTGAGCCGCCCGAGCCGCCCGAGCCGCCCGAGCCGCCCGAGTCGCCCGAGCCGCCCGAGCCGCCCGAGCCGCCCGAGCAGCCCGAGCCGCCTGCTGCTGACCTACCCGACTCTCCCATCCTGGTGAGACTTTCAGCTGCTGCCATGGCCACCCCCAATGTTCTCACTTTTGACGCTGAGGGGAGGGCCATTGACTTTGCCGTCTGGATCGAGGACCTGCAGCTGTACTTACTGTGTGATGCGGTAGATGAGGTCTCTCTCTTTGACTTTGTCTCTGGCGCTGTCCCTGCCCCGCCTGCTGATGCTGACTCTGCCGTTCGCTCCAAGTGGGCGACCCGCGATGCTGCTGCACGTCTTGCTGTGCGTCGCCACCTCCCTTCCTCTGAGCGTGCCCACTTTAGTCAGTGCAAGACCGCTCAGGCCTTGTACGACGCTGTAGTTGCGCGCTACTCCTCCCCTTCCTCCGCTACCCTTAGCCGCCTCATGCTACCGTTTCTCTTCCCTGACCTCGCTTCCTTTCCCACTGTCGCTGACCTCGTTACCCACCTCCGCGCTAGTGACACCCGCTACCGCGCTGCCCTTCCTGCTGAGTTCTGCGCTGCGAACCCTCCTCCCATGTACATCACTCTCTACTTTCTCGTCACCCGTCTCCCTGAGTCCCTTCGTGTCGTTAGGGACCAGTTTCTCTCTGTCTGTCCCACCACTCTCACTGTCGACCTCCTTGAGGAGTCCCTGCTAGCGGCTGAGAAGAGTATTGTCGCTGTAGGGGCCTCTCGGGGTGACCCTCGCACCCCCATCTTTGAGGGGTGTGGTCCCTCCCCCCTGCTGCCCTCTGTCGCCTCTGCCGCTGCGGCCGACCTCGTTGGTTTTGAGTCGGTCGGCGCGGCGTCTGCCCCCAGTGGCAGACGCCGCACTGGCAAGGGCAAGGGGGGCAAGGGAGCGGGTGGAGCCAGAGGGGGCGGTGGAGGAGGCGGTGGGGGTGGAGGGGGGAGTGGGGGTGGCGGGGGGGGTGGTGGCGGGAGTGGAGGTAGTAGTGGCGGCGGTGGAGGCGGAGGTGGCGGCGGAGGTGGTAGCGGAGGAGGCGGTGGGAGCGGTGGGAGCGACGGTCCTGGTGGGGGAGGTGGCAGTGGCGACGGGGGTGGCGGTGGAGGCGGGGGTGGCGGTGGAGGAGGGGGTCGGAGTGGCTCGTCCCAGCGGAGCAGCTCTGGGGGTGGTCAGCGCCAGCAGCAGCAGCAGCAGCAGCAGCCGCAGCAGCAGCAGCAGCGCTCTCGCACCGTCCCCGGCCCTCAGCAGCTCCGTGAGTGGTACTTGCAGCGTCAGCGCGGTGGTGCGCTTGGTCCCTGCCCCTACGTTCTTCGCACTGGTGACCGTGCAGGGGAGAGGTGTGGAGGCGCCCACACAGCCCGTCGCTGCTTTGGCCGCCTGACCGACGCCTGGCGTCAGCAGTTTCCGGAGGCCGCTGAGATCCCCCGCTGGGGAGAGCTGTCTAGGGCTGGTGTAGCTATTTATGATCTTGATTTTGATGCTATTCTCTCTGCTATGTATGCTGTGACTGGTAGTGATGAGGATGACTGTTACCGGTGTTTCCCGCCCGACCCGGGCATTGGTACTGCCGCGTCAGGTACTAGTGAGGCTGCTGCTCTAGGTGCCAGTGCGTCTGTGCTTTCAGGTACTGGTGAGTCCGCCCTCTCAGGTACTGTGTCGGCTTCGGCCTCTCACACCTTCACCCTTGACTCTGGAGCGTCTCGCTCCTTCTTTAGGGACCGCACCACTCTCACGCCGCTGAGTCGGCCTGTTGCGGTGTCCCTGGCGGACCCCTCTGGGGGGCCTGTCCTGTCTCGCTTCTCCACTGTCCTCCCGTGTCCGGCGGCCCCCTCTGGCACCCTGACTGGTCTCTACCTCCCCTCGTTCTCGACGAACTTGGTGAGTGGTGCTGACCTCCAGGATGCAGGTGTCCACCAGTTCACCCCTGCTCGTCAGCGGGTGACCCACTGTACGGAGGCGGATACAGGTCGCCACCTGGCTACGTTTACACGTCGGCCGGGGTCGAGCCTGTACACATTGACCACTGCTTCTCCTCCAGGTACTGCGTCTGGTAGGGCCCCTTCGTCTGGTCAGGTGTTTGCTGCAGCGTCCAGGTCTGGTCCTGAGTCTGCCCCTTGTTCGTGTCGTCGTCTGTCTCACGAGACCCTCCTCTGGCACCACCGCCTTGGCCACCCCTCTCTGCTTCGGCTCAGAGGCATGGCCTCGCGGGTCCTTGTGTCTGGTCTTCCCCGGTCCCTCCCTCCCCTTCCTCCGGGCCCTGGCCCTGCCTGTGTCCCCTGTGTCGAGGGGCGCCAGCGTGCTGCCCCTCACTCCTCCCAGTTTCCTCCGACAGAGGCCCCGTTGCAGACGCTTCACATGGACGTGTGGGGCCCAGCCCGCGTCCGTGGACAGGGTCAGGAGCGCTACTTCCTGCTGGTGGTTGACGACTACTCGCGTTACACCACAGTCTTCCCCTTGCGCAGCAAGGGTGAGGTCACTCAGGTGTGGATCGACTGGATCCGCGCAGCTCGTCTTCAGCTTCGGAGAAGCTTTGGCTCTGACTTCCCTGTCTTGCGTCTGCACTCGGACAGAGGCGGAGAGTTCTCCTCTGCCCTCCTGAGTGCCTACTGTCGTGTGCGAGGCATCCGTCACACCTTCACGCTTCCGGACTCACCACAGCAGAATGGGATCGCTGAGCGCCGCATTGGCATGGTCATGGACGTCGCTCGTACGTCCATGATGCATGCGGCTGCTCCCCATTTTCTGTGGCCGTTTGCGGTCAGGTACGCTGCGCACCAGATCAACCTCCACCCCAGGGTCTCTCGACCGGAGACCTCCCCAGCTCTGTTGTGGACGGGGAAGGTTGGCGATGCGTCGGCGTTCCGGGTCTGGGGATCTCGGGCGTTTGTTCGCGACCTGTCTGCGGACAAGCTGTCCCCTCGTGCTTCTCCCTGCGTCTTCCTCGGGTTCCCCCCCGACGCCCCTGGGTGGCAGTTTTACCACCCCACCTCTCGACGTGTTCTGTCCTCCCAGGACGTCACGTTCGACGAGTCGGTACCCTACTACCGCCTCTTCCCCTACCGCACTCCGTCCCTCCCCCCACCCCCGCTCTTCTTGGTACCAGGTCCCCCCCCAGTAGTCCCCCTCCCCCCTCAGGGTCCTGCCCCTTCAGGTGTGTCTCAGGTAGACGCGGTCGAGCCTGTCGAGGTCACTGGTGACTCCGGTGCTGCTGCGGGAGCTGAGCCTGGGGGTGCTGTGCCTGGGGGTGCTGAGCCTGGGGGTGCGGAGTCTGGGGGTGCTGGGCCTGGGGGTGCTGAGCCTGGGGGTGCTGTGCCTGGGGGTGCTGAGCCTGGGGGTGCTGTGCCTGGGGGTGCTGTGTCTGGGGGTACTGAGCCTGGGGGTGCTGAGCCTGGGGGTGCTAAGCCTAGAGGTGCCGAGCCTGGAGGTGCTGTGCCTGGGGGTGCTTCGTCTCGCCGGGAGCCGCTCTCTCCACAGGAGCTGCGTGAGTGGTTTGCCCGGCGCTGGAGGCGTGCCGCTGGTGCTGGTGGTTCTTCGGCTGCGGAGGGCGCTGCTGCCACGCGACCTGGCGGTGCTCGTCCTGTGGGTGCTGGAGCTGCTGGGTCTGAGGGTTCTCCTGGAGCTGGTCCTGCTGAGGACGTTGGCGCTGAGCCTGCGGTTGGTGGTCCGACTGATGGTGCTCCTGGTGCTGCTGCTGGAGGTTCCGGAGCTTCTGGTGGTTCTGCTGGAGGTGCTGCTGGAGTGGGTGCTCCGGCCGGAGCTGCTGGTTCTGTTCCTGCTGTTTCTGGCGTCGCCGCGCGGTCTCGACCGTACTTCGTTCCGCTCCTGGAGCAGGTTCTTGGTCTTGCTCCTCCTCCTCCTCCCTTAGAGGGTCCGCAGCCTGTCCGGTCACAGCCACAGCTAGAGCCTGCCTCCCCTTTGCCTGCTCCTTCTCCCTACGCTGGTCCGACTGGAGGCCTTACTGAGCGTCGTGAGCCTGCGTCTCGTCCTGCGTCGCCTGTTCGTACTGAGCGCGCTAGTGGTCGCGGGTCGCGTCAGCGTCCTCCTCCTGTCCCTGGCACGCACCGGATGTCACTGCGTCCGTCCACTGCTCCTCTGCATGCCCCTTTGCCTTCTCCTCCTGCTTCCTCGCTTCCTGCTCTTGCCGACCCGGAGTCGGACTCTCTTCGTGCTGCCAGTCCTACTGTCACGCGTCTCCTTGCTACTGCTGTCACTGACCCTTCCTTCGAGTCGTCTGCTGCGTCTGCCCTTGTCACTGAGCTTGTCGACTTTGCTGCGCGCTGTCGTCTAGACTACGCTGCTCGTCTTGTCGCTGAGTCTGATTCCGCCTGTCCTCCGTCCGTCGGGGGTGAGTGTGCCCTTGGCACGGACGTCCTAGAGGACAGGCAGGAGGAGTTCCAGTGTCTAGCCGCTGCTTCACCTCGTCTCGCGTCTGTACTGCTAGCCCCTGAGGGAGACCCGGATGCACTAGACATCCCGACTCCGCGTTCTTACGCGGAGGCCGTAGAGGGTCCCTACTCCTCTCAGTGGCAGGCAGCTATGGATGCAGAGATGGCTTCCTGGAAGTCCACAGGCACCTACGTTGACGCGGTTCCCCCTCCTGGGGCGAACATCGTCAGTGGCATGTGGATCTTCAGGGTGAAGCGGCCGCCGGGCTCGCCGCCTGTCTTCAAGGCGCGTTACGTGGCTCGTGGCTTCAGTCAGCGGCAGGGAGTTGACTACTTTCAGACCTTCTCTCCCACCCCGAAGATGACCACTCTTCGGGTGCTGCTGCACATTGCCGCTCAGCGCGACTACGAGCTTCACTCTCTCGACTTCAGCACTGCGTTCCTGCAGGGTAGCCTGCACGAGGAGATCTGGCTGCGCCGTCCGCCTGGCTTCACTGGGACTTTCCCTCCTGGCACCCAGTGGAGCCTCCGACGGCCAGTCTACGGTCTCCGCCAGGCACCGCGTGAGTGGCACGACACACTGAGGACTACGCTTGCGGCTCTTGGGTTTGCTCCTTCTACTGCTGACCCGTCGCTGTTTCTTCGCACCGACACTTCCCTGCCGCCGTTCTACATCCTCGTGTACGTCGACGACTTGGTCTTTGCCACAGCGGACACTGCTGGACTCGCCTACGTGAAGTCCGAGCTGCTGAAGAGACACACGTGCACAGACCTGGGTGAACTGCGCAGCTACCTTGGCTTGCAGATCACTCGGGACAGAGCACGCCGCACCATTACCCTGACTCAGTCACACATGGTGCAGCAGGTCCTTCAGCGCTTCGGCTTCACGTACTCCTCGCCTCAGGCCACTCCTCTGCCTACTCGCCACTCACTCTCAGCTCTGCCTTCGGATGAGTCCGTAGAGTCGAGTGGTCCGTATGCAGAGCTTGTTGGCTGCCTCATGTACCTGATGACCTGCACACGACCTGACCTTGCATACCCTCTGAGCATCCTTGCACGCTATGTTGCTCCTGGGAGACACCGACCAGAGCACATGGCTGCAGCGAAGAGGGTATTGCGCTACCTGTGCAGTACGTCGGGCATGGGGCTAGTGCTTGGAGGGCGGAGTCCAGTGGTCCTTACTGGGCACGCAGACGCTTCTTGGGCTGACGACCAGGCTACGCAGCGGTCGTCACAGGGTTACACCTTCAGCCTTGGTTCCGGCTCTGTCTCGTGGCGGTCTACTCGCTCGTCTTCGGTTCTCGGCTCCAGTTGTGAGGCTGAGATCTACGCCGGGGCCATGGCTGCACAGGAGCTTCGCTGGCTCACCTACCTGCTGACTGACCTTGGAGAGCTGCCTCGTTCTCCTCCAGTGCTGTACGTAGACAACAAGGCCATGTTGGCCTTGTGTCGAGAGCAGCGCTTGGAGCACAGAACGAAGCACATTGCTCTCCGCTACTTCCTTGCTCGTGAGCTGCAGCAGCGTGGTCAGTTGCGACTTGCTTACGTGGCCTCTGAGGCCAACACTGCTGATGTGTTCACCAAGGCACTTGCGCCTTGCGACCATCAGCGCTTTTGTACCCAGCTGGGTCTTGTACCTGTCTTGCCTCACTTGCTCTCTTCTTGACTTTACTTGTACTTTGACATATATATACCTGCTCTTGCTTGTCTAGTTTTATATATATGTCTGTACTCCTGCATGTGAACTGGCCTCTGGCCTTGCTCTTGTGCTCGGACTGTGTGGTGACTTTGTGATCCACCCTGAGCTTGCTTTGCTTTACTTGACTGGTCTTGTGACCCCTTGTTCTCCCCCACTTTGCCTATGGGGGTGTGTCAGATTATTATAGCTGATGCATGTTTGTAGGCTATAGTGGGGTAGCACATATGGGGTACAGTTTGCTAGGGTTGTATTTGTACCCAACTCTGACTTAGTCAATTCATTCCTGTTCATTCCTTTCACACTAATAAGGTTTGGAAGGAATATAATGCATATGTATATGGAAAGTCGTGCATTGGCCAGGTCGGTCAGTATGGGAACTTAGAGTGCAAATGCCAGGGAGAACGGAACCGCTCAGATCTCGCATAATACACGGAATCTAGTGGTCTCACTCAAATATAAGGTAGGAAATATATTCATCTAGTGAACGTAAGGGTTTGAAAGGTAACTAACGCACATGTGTAGAGAAAATGGTGCATCGGCCAGTCTGGCCAGGGAGAACGGAAACGCTCGTTTTTCAAAAAGTAGAGGGAATCTAACGGTCTCACTCGATCAGAAGGTGGGAAATATATAAATCTAGTCAGCTGAAAAGGTTTGAAATGTATTCAACGCACATGTATAGAGAAAATGGTGCATTGGCCAGGTCGGTCAGTATCGGAACTTAAAAAGCAAATGCCAGGGAGAACGGAAGCGCTCAGATCTCGCATAGTACACGGAATCAAGGGGTCTCACTCAAATAGAAAGTAGGAAATATATTCATCTAGTGAATGTAAGGGTTTGAAAGGTAACTAACGCACATGTGTAGAGAAAATTGTGCATCGGCCAGTCTGGCCGGCATTTCGCACTTATAGTGCAACTAGGGCCAAGGAGAACGGAAACGCTCATTTCTCAAAAAGGAAAGGGAATCTAGCGGTCTCACTCGATCAGAAGGTGGAAAATATATAAATCTAGTGAGCTAATAAGGTTCGAAAGGAATCTAATGCATATGTATATGGAAAATGGTGCATTGGCCAAATCGGTCAGTATGGGAACTTAGAGTGCAAATGCCAGGGAGAACGGAAGCGCTCAGATCTCGCATAGTACACGGAATCTAGTGGTCTCACTCAAATAGAAGGTAGGAAATAAATTCATCTAGTGAACGTAAGGGTTTGAAAGGTAACTAACGCACATGTGTAGAGAAAATGGTGCATCGGCCAGTCTGGCCGGCATTTCGCACTTATAGTGCAAGTAGGGCCAAGGAGAACGGAAACGCTCATTTCTCAAAAAGTAAAGGGAATATAGCGGTTTCACTCGATCAGAAGGTGGGAAATATATAAATCTAGTGAGCTAATAAGGTTCGGAAGGAATCTAATGCATATGTATATCGAAAACGGTGCATTGGCCAGGTCGGTCAGTATGGGAACTTAGAGTGCAAATGCCAGGGAGAACGGAAGCGCTCAGATCTCGCATAGTACACGGAATCTAGTGGTCTCACTCAAATAGAAGGTAGGAAATAAATTCATCTAGTGAACGTAAGGGTTTGAAAGGTAACCAACGCACATGTGTAGAGAAAATGGTGCATCGGCCAGTCTGGCCGGCATTTCGCACTTATAGTGCAAGTAGGGCCAAGGAGAACGGAAACGCTCATTTCTCAAAAAGTAAAGGGAATCTAGTGGTCTCACTCGATCAGAAGGTGGGAAATATATAAACCTAGTGAGCTAATAAGGTTCGGAAGGAATCTAATGCATATGTATATGGAAAATGGTGCATTGGCCAGGTCGGTCAGTATGGGAACTTAGAGTGCAAATGCCAGGGAGAATGGAACCGCTCAGATCTCGCATAGTACCTGGAATCTAGTGGTCTCACTCAAATAGAAGGTAGGAAATAAATTCATCTAGTGCACGTAAGGGTTTGAAAGGTAACTAACGCACATGTGTAGAGAAAATGGTGCATCGGCCAGTCTGGCCGGCATTTCGCACTTATAGTGCAACTAGGGCCAAGGAGAACGGAAACGCTCATTTCTCAAAAAGGAAAGGGAATCTAGCGGTCTCACTCGATCAGAAGGTGGAAAATATATAAATCTAGTGAGCTAATAAGGTTCGAAAGGAATCTAATGCATATGTATATGGAAAATGGTGCATTGGCCAGGTCGGTCAGTATGGGAACTTAGAGTGCAAATGCCAGGGAGAATGGAAGCGCTCAGATCTCGCATAGTACACGGAATCTAGTGGTCTCACTCAAATAGAAGGTAGGAAATAAATTCATCTAGTGAACGTAAGGGTTTGAAAGGTAAGTAACGCACATGTGTAGAGAAAATGGTGCATCGGCCAGTCTGGCCGGCATTTCGCACTTATAGTGCAAGTAGGGCCAAGGAGAACGGAAACTGTCAGAGTATTATAGCTGATGCATGTTTGTAGGCTATAGTGGGGTAGCACATATGGGGTACAGCTTTCTAGGGTTGTATTTGTACCCAACTCTGACTTAGTCATTTTGTTCCTGCTCACTTGTTTCACATGGTATAGAGCTGGTCCTTCCTTAGGACCGTTTTTTTTAGGGCCCACCGAAGCGTGCCCCGAGGCGCGCCCTTTTTTTTAGCGACCCCTCGGGTCGCCATTTCCCTCGCGGCCCCGCTGTCCCTTAGACGCGGCCCCGCCACCCCTCCTGATCGCGGCCCCGCCGCCTGCTTCGTCGCGGCCTCGCCGCCTGCTTGACGCGGCCCCGCCGCCTCCACTGACGCGGCCCCGCCGCCGGCTCTGACGCGGCCCTGCCGGCCCGCCGCTGCACCCTACGGCCCGCCGCTGCACCCTACGGCCCGCCGCCTCACCTGACGGCCCTGCCGCTGCACCTGCCGGCCCGCCGCTGCACCTTCCGGCCCGCCGCTGCACCCAGCGGCCCGCTGCTTCACCTGACGGCCCCGCCGCTGCACCTGCCGGCCCGCCGCTGCACCCTACGGCCCGCCGCTGCACCCTACGGCCTGCCGCCTCACCTGGCCGGCCCGCCGCTGCACCTGCCGGCCCGCCGCTGCACCCAGCGGCCCGCCGCTTCACCTGACGGCCCCGCCGCTGCACCTGCCGGCCCGCCGCTGCACCCTACGGCCCGCCACTGCACCCTACGGCCCGCCGCCTCACCTGGTCGGCCTGCCGCTGCACCTGCCGGCCCGCCGCTGCACCCTACGGCCCGCCGCTGCACCCTACGGCCCGCCGCCTCACCTGGTCGGCCCGCCGCTGCACCCTACGGCCCCGCCGCTGCACTTGCCGGCCCGCCGCTGCACCTGACGGCCCCGCCCGTGCATCTCCCGGCCGAGCCGCCCCAGCAGCAGAGCCGCCCCAGCAGCCGAACCGCCCGGGAGCCGAGCCGCCCAACGCCGAGCCGCCCGGGACCCGAGCCGCCCTGCAGCCGAGACGCCCGGGAGCCGAACCGCCCTGCGCCCGAGCCGCCCGGGAGCCGAGCCGCTGTGCACCCGCGCCGCCCGGTCGCTGAGCCGCCTTTCTGCAGAGCTGCACGACCTGCCCTGCCTGGTGAGCACAGTCCCACTGACACTGCGAGCTCTTTCCCTACTGCTTGCACTGCGTCGCTGTCGTCGCCATGGCTACCCCTAGTGTCCTAGCTTTTGACGCTGAGGGTCGCGCCATTGATTTTGAGGTCTGGTTAGACGACCTGCAGCTGTTCTTACAGTGCGACAGGGCTGACGACCTTTCTCTCTTTGACCTCACCTCTGGCGCCTCTCCTACTCCTGCTGCTGATGCTGATCCCACTGTCCGCTCTCAGTGGGCCACCCGCGATGCTGCTGCACGTCTTGCTGTGCGTCGCCACATCCCTACCTCTGAGCGTGCGCACTTTAGTCAGTACAAGAGTGCTCAGACCTTGTACGACGCTGTAGTTGCGCGCTACTCCTCCCCTGCCACTGCTGCACTGAGCCGTCTCATGCTTCCTTACCTCTTTCCTGACCTCTCTGCCTTTCCCACTGTTGCTGACCTCATTACGCACCTCCGCACTAGTGACACTCGCTACCGCGCCGCCCTTCCTGCTGAGTTCTGCGCTAAGAACCCACCCCCCATGTACATCGCTCTCTACTACGTAGTCGCGCGCCTCCCTGAATCCCTTCGCGTCGTCAGGGACCACTTTCTCGCAGTCTGTCCCACCACCCTCACCGTCGACCTCCTCGAGAAGGCCCTCCTCGCAGCGGAGAAGAGCATAGTCGCTGTAGGTGCTTCTCGTGGTGACCCTCGCACCCCCATCTTTGAGGGGTGCTCTCCTTCCCCCTTGCTGCCCTCTGTTGCCTCTGCTGCTGCTGCCGACCTGCTTGGTCTTGAGTCGGTCGGCGCGGCGTCTACCCCTAGTGGGAGACGTCGCTCCAGCAAGGGCAAGGGGGGCAAGGGCGCGGGTGGAGCTGGAGGGGGCGGTGGCGGTGGCGGCGGTGGCGGCGGAGGGAGTGGGGGTGGCGGCGGGACTAGTGGCGGGGGTGGTGGTGGTGGTGGCAGCAGCGGCGGGGACGGTGGTGGTGGTGCCAGCGGTGGTGGTGGAGGCAGCGGCGGAGGTGGAGGCGGCGGAGGTGGAGGCGGTGGAGGCGGCAGCGGAGGAGGCGGTGGTGGTGGAGGAGGTGGAGCTGGTCGGGGTGGTACCCAGCAGCGTAGCGGCGGTGGTGGTGGCCAGCGCTCGCAGCGGCAGCAGCAGCAGCGCTCGCGGGACATCCCTCCGCCTCAGCAACTTCGTGAGTGGTACGCTGGGCGTCAGTGGGGTGGGGGTACTGGTCCCTGCTCCTACGTTCTTCGTTCCGGCGACCGCGCGGGTGAGCAGTGTGGGGGTGCCCACGCCACCCAGCGCTGCTTTGGCCGCCTGACGGACGCTTGGCGTCGGCAGTTCCCTGGGGCTAGTGAGATCCCTCGCTGGGATGAGCTTCTCAGGGCTGGTGTAGCGATCTTTGATCTTGATTTTGATGCTTTCCTTGCTGCTATGTATACTGTGGATTATAGTGAGGAGAATGAGGGTTACCGGTGTTTCCAGCCCGACCCGGGCATTGGTACTGCTGCGCTAGGTGCTTGTGAGGCTGCTGCTCTAGGTGCCAGTGCGTCTGCGCTCTCAGGTACTGGTGAGACTGCGCTCTCAGGTACTGCGTCGTCCTCGTCCTCCCTCACTTTCACACTTGACTCCGGGGCTTCTCGCTCCTT